GGTCTGTATACTTTGCACAGAATTCTACACTTAGTCAATGATAGTACATAACAAGATGGGCCACTTCTCTCTTTGAGCCAATTAAAAAAGTGTCCTCAAAATTCGGTGGCGCCCTCTTTGCAAAAGCGCACCTTTTGCGAACAGAGTTATCCTACTTGAGTTTTAAAAAATCAAAGTGAAACTAGCAAGTTTTTGAATGAATTTCGGAAGAACGCTTTTTTAAAATGGTTACGCTGACAAAAAACCTCTTCCGGAGGAAAGGGTGATGGTTTTCTTCGTTTAATTTGACTTTCGAATGAAAGGCGAGAGGGCATAAAAAAATTTTTAAAACCTAAAACTACGCACTGAACGTACCCGAACTGCTGATGAACAGCAGTCGATCTGCGCACGCAAGGAGGTGCTATTCCTATTCTTCTTCTGGAAAAACGAAAGAGAGCTTCAAAACAGACTGCAGCGCCATCTGAAGCAAAGAGCATACTTCCTGCGGACACTTTTTTGGCTGAGTGGCCCATCTTGTTATGTACTATCATTGACTTAGTGTAGAATTCTGTGATACTTTGTGACTTTATTCCCGGTTACCGGGTCTGTATTGAAACAGGCGTGCAGTGATGAATTGAACAGGGATATTCTTATACTCACTGATTCGCTCTCGCAGCCCAATCACTTGGGGAACCTCACAGAAATCATGCTAGATTTGACATTCTACAGGACCTAATTGAATTACATGAACAATTATTAACTAACGGAAAAAGGGTTACCATTATTTGGATATCATCACATTGCGGAATAGATGGGAATGAGATGGCTGACAAGCTTGCAAACAAGGGAAGAATGCAAAAGAAAGAATATATAAATACAAAACTGGGACCCCTCGAAATGAAAAATCTTTTACACCAAAGAGTAAAAGAAAACATTTTTCAGACTGCATGAACAAATTCAAAGACAGGCACATTCTTTAAAAAGATAGTGCCAAACATAAAAACTATAGTACCGTATGGAGAGGGCCAAAACTTGATTACCCGACTCAGATTATACTCACCATATTTCTTCATCAAAAGAAATCAAATATGCCACCAGTGCCAAAAAACACTATCAAATGATCGCGTACTTTTGGAATGTGAACTGTTCATACAATACCGAAATGCATTAAAAGATCAATTTAAAAAGGAAGGCATTCATTTTGACACTACAAACATTCTGTACCCAAAGAGAAGCAATCAGACGAAAATTCTTATTAAAAAGTTAATAGACGAAATAAATTAAAAATCCTATATAAATTTACAGGCAATCTCTTGCCTCTTTGGTTTTGGTAGAGGTTTTGCGGCGCTCGCGGCTGCATATGGTCATATGAGCGCCAGTCTTGCCTCTAACATTATCCAAATTAATCTATGCTTTAACAAGGGGAACAGGGTTATTTATTATTGTTGTTGTTCTCATTATTATTATTATTATTATTATTATTATTATTATTATTATTATTATTATTATTATTATTATTATTATCATCATCATCATCATCATCATCATCATCATCATCATCATTATTATTATTATTATTATTATTATTATTATTATTATTATTATTATTAATTTTTAAAAATTTTTATTATTGCTGTTGTTATTATTGTTATTATTATTATTATTATTATTATTATTATTATTATTATTATTATCTGGGACGGGGAAAGAGGGGAGGGGGGTGGCAGGGGGGAGGGGGGCGGGGGGAAGGGGACTGGGGATAAAGAATATGGGTATGCTCCAAAAAAAGTTGTTTTTCATACTTATTTGTTTACTTATTATTATTATTATTATTATTATTATTATTATTATTATTATTATTATTATTATAATTATTATAATTATTATTTATTATTATTATTATTATTATTATTATTATTATTGTTGTTGTTATTGTTGTTGTTATTGTTGTTGTCGTAGTTGTTGTTGTTGTTGTTGTTGTTGTTGCCGATGTCATTATTATTATTACTATTATTATTATTATTATTATTATTATTATTATTATTATCATTATTAATATTATTAATATTATTATTGGTAGTAGTAGTATTATTGTTATTCATCTTGTTCTATTATTGTACTGTTATTATTGTTGTTTTTATTATTACCACCGTCGTTATGGCTATCGTATTACTATCATCGTTATCATGGCTATTATTTTTAAAATAATGCCTTAATATATTATAATTTTACATTCCCCCCTCCCTCTATCTCTCTATCGA